GGTGTGATGGTGAAAAGAGTAGATCCTTATGAAGGTCTTGAACTCCTTGTCAAAGGGGGTGCCTGAGGTACTGGGAATACTTATAGTATATGGAATTACACAAGTATCGTTCCGCTATGATGAAATTTCATTCCTTTTAACGCCTCTGTTCTTTCTGATTTGAAGTGCTGACTTCGGAAATTGGGATTGAATTACCAACTGCAAAGCTTGTAATGTCAATTTTATCGTTTGAAACAACAACTGCCGGATTCGAAACTGCAATGGATAAAGTTTTATATTCCGATAAAGATATAACCGTTTCTAAAAAGGTTATATCATCGTCAGATGATATAATATTACTTCCCATTCGTCTCACTTTTCCTGTGAAGATATATTATGATTTTTTTCCTTATTGGTAAAGAACTTTTTGAAAGAAGAACCCAAAAGAAGAAGAGAAGGATGTTAAAAGGCAAATCAAATTCAACAGAAAAAACAAATTCAGGCCCACCTCAAGGAGAGGTGGACCCGCCCAGGAACAGGTACAGGAACGGTTACTAGAACACGTGGAGGACAACGAAATCATCCAATTTGAAGAAAATAAGGACACGATGGCTACAAATAACATCGAAATAATGGAAGAAAAATCCTTCCAGACCGTCAAGTGCCCTAGAAGGAACTCCAACGAGTCAATCCAAGGTGCCAGACAAAGAACTTCAACAAGTAGCAGCTCCGTAACGGTTCCCACAAAAAAACCGTTACCAGGTTTTAAAAAAGATAAGTACTGAAGAGAGAAGCTCTGCAGCTCCCAAAAAAGAACGCATCCCGCCTAGTGTCATAGCAGGACAAATAGGCAGCTACTCCACCTTCATCAAGGAATTAACGAAGCTACTGGGCCACAACAACTTCCAAATCGCTCCAGCCGGAAAGGTAGGTACTAGGGTATACCTCAAGAGCAGCGAAGATTATGAAAAAGTCAAACAGGACTTTATTACGATATCAATAACAGCATTCCACACCTATACTAAGAAGTCAGAGGTCACGAAAAAGATAGTTATGAAGGCAGCCCCAGGAATGGACTTGGATGAGGTCGAGGCCGACCTAAGACAACAGGGCATCATCGGCAAAGTCACCGAGTTGAAGACCAAGAAACCTGGTTCGCAGAGCAGCTCCTACCTACTTCAAGTCGACAAACAGCAGGACCTTAAGGAAATTAAGAAAATCAACGGAGTTCAAAACATCAGAGTGAGATGGGATGCCTACTCCAAACCAGCCAGGGCTACTCAACGTTACAACTGTCAGGAATTCGGCCATTCTGCTAGAAACTGCTTCAAACAGCCCAGGTGTATGAAGTGTGCATCAGGACATCAGACGAGACACTGCCCACTCCCAAAGGGCCAGACCAACAAGGTGAAGTGTTGCAACTGTAACGAAGCCCATACCTCCAACTACCCTATGTGCAGCAAGCACATAGAATACCTAGACAAGCAGGCAGCGAGAAGATCAAGAAGTCAACCTCAGCAGAAGATGGCACCTCCACCACCTCATTTAGGACCACCACCAGCGGGTTATCATATGCACAGGCCAGCAAAGGAGCTCAGCAGCCAACAACTAGCAGAACAGATGGAATCAAGGACACATGGGCCGAAATCAACCAAATTGTCAACGTTGAGAAGATGATGGCCATACTCCAGGACATGAAGAGGGAACTATTCCAGGCAAGATCATTCGCCGAAAAAGCCATGATCTTCATGAAATACGAAGACATCTACAATGAACCATAAACACCTGAAGATCTTCCAGTTCAACATAGCATCTCTACGGCTAAGAATCAGCGAGCTACGAGAGGCAGTCATAAGGCACAACCCAGATGTCATATGCCTGTCAGAAACAAGATACATGACAGAATCCCAGCTACCAAGGATCACAAACTACGATGGATTTGGAAGAAGAGACAATCCAAACGGCAGAGGAGTAGCCATTTATGTCAAAAACAACATAGAATGGAACCAAGTATTGATGGAAACTCAACATTTTGAAAGTATTGGTATCAAAGTAGGTATGAATAACATCTTTTCAATTTACAGGAAACATTCGGAAAATCTAGCCATAGAAGAACTTGATGCCCTTCTCAACTCAGCACCAACCGTAGTCGTAGCAGGAGACTTCAACGCCAAACACACAGCATGGGGATGTGCAACAGACACCGCTCCAGGAACAACTCACTAAGATACTGTGAAGACAGAGATAGGATGTTATTCGCTCCAGATGAACCAACAAGAATAAACCCAATAAGAGGACAAAACAACTCAACACTGGACCTTTTCATCACCAAAGATGTAATTATGGAAGACGTCAGGACCTACTTCGAATGCAGTTCGGATCACAAACCAGTAATAGGAAGAATGACATCAAGAGTCGACTTGCCAAGGATAGAACCAGTGGAAAGATGGAGATGGAAAGATGCTAACTGGCCTAATTGCAGAAGACAGCTCAACCAAATGGAAATGAAGAGAGAGTTCCAATCAATAGAAGAAGTAGAGGAAAAAATAGATGAAATCACAAGAAGAATTCAGCGAGCCATGGAAGCCAACATCCCAAAATCCATGACGAACAACAGAGGTTTGGTTATCCCTGCAGAACTTCAGAACCTCATCAAGGACAGAAACAAGGCCAGAAGAGCATTCCAAAGAACCAGAAGACAAGAATTCAAGGAATACGGAGACATCCTATCTGAAGAAATAAGAGTAAGACTGAGAAGTCTTACTGAAAACCAATGGCACATCAGAAGAGCCGAAGAAAGCCATAGAAATGTTTGGAAAATGTTGAAGGCAAGAAGAAGAGGAAAACAAAAGATGCCATAAATCATGGACAACGAGGGAACATACTACGAAACCCAAGGAAAAGTATATGCAATTTCAAGGAAGATTGCAGCCACACACAGACAAAACCAAGAGATGTCGGATGCAAGAACAAAGAGGCAAGTCGATGAAGAATACAACAGGATCAAAAGAAGAAACGAATTCCATATAGACGAAGAAGACTACACCAGCCCAAGTGAAGTTGCAAAAATCATCAGGAAGCTAAAGGGAAGCAGAGCACCAGGAAAAGAAGGAATCCACAACATCACCCTCAAGGAACTCCCAAAGAAGGTCATAGTACAACTGTATTACATCTTCAAATACTGCCTAGAAAAAGGACATTTTCCAAACAACTGGAAACACGCCAAAATCATCCCACTACTGAAGCCAAGGAAAGATGGAAGAAGACCAGAAAGCTACAGACCCATATCACTCCTGGAATCGATGGGAAAAATCCTGGAAAAAATCATCTACAAGAGACTGATGAAACACACAGAAAGAAGAGGAATTATACAAGAAGACCAATTCGGATTCAGAAAAGGAAGAAACTGCGAACTCCAACTAGCAAGAATAATCAGCGATGCGAAGATAAAATTCAACAGAAAACAGAAGACAGGATTAGCCATACTGGACATAGAAAAAGCATACGACACGGTTTGAAAGAAGGCATTAATCTACAAGATGGACAAGGCTAAACTTCCGCGTTATTTAATTAATATTTGTGATATTTATTTATCTGATAGAACTTTTCAGGTTGCAGCTGACCAAAAGATGTCAACGATCCAACAAATCCAGGAAGGGATGCCTCAGGGCAGCATTTTATCACCTACATTATATAACATTTTTGTTGCAGATCTTCTAACAGATCCTAGGACTTCCACAGCCCTGTATGCAGACGACACAGCAGTGTATGCATCCGGAAAAGATGAAAGAAGAATCATTGATGACATGGAGTACCACTTAGGAAAAATCACGGACTTCACGGAAAAATGGAAAAACAAAATCAACGCAGAGAAGACGCAGCTCATAATATTCACCCAGGAAAAACGACCACCACAGAACCAGATCACAGTAGGAGGCAACAGAATTCAGAAAGCAGAGACGGTCAAATACTTAGGTGTCCATCTCGACAGAAGACTCAATTTCCGGGTACATACACAAAAAAACTAAGGTAAAAGCTAATGCTGCTAAAAAACTGATACTTCCTTATATTTACAGGTCCAGTCCATTGTCCAAGGCGAAGAAGATCCAACTCTACCAAGCATATGTTAGGTCGGTGATTCTGTATGCTGTACCAGTCTGGAGCTCCATTACGGAATCCAACTAGAGAAGGTTAGAAGGAACTGAGAACTCATGCTACCGAATCATCGACGAAACAGCATGGGAGGATAGAGTTACCAATGCCACCATCAGGAACAGACTAGGATTCACGCCACTGAGGGAGGTGGCCGAGAACAGGACCAGGTGGTTCTTCGACCAGGTGGTTCTTCAACCAGGCCACAAGAAGACTGTGAAAAACAAGGGATATCCTCGAGAAAAACAGGATCCAGAGGATACACCGAGAAACTCATCGACTCATTGACCATATGATCAGCGACTAGAACCAGGCTTGCAGGGAAGTAGGTACGTTTGCCGATACAGTACCTACAGAAGCAGACCAGAACACCACCCAGGAAAATCCAGGACCCGAGAGGAAGAAGACCCAAATGCGCGGTGCAAGAGCGGAACGCAGAAGAAAGAAGACTGAAATATTAAATGTTGACATGTACATTATAGAAATGGCAATAAATGTTTTTATTTTCTTATTTTTATTTTATTTTTATATGGTGCTATTAACTCATTTTTTATAAAATGTCGCTTGGTTCGGGTCTAATGGATTTTTATAAAATTATTTGACACAAGTAAGTAGCCAATAGCCTCGAGTTTGTTTATAATGGTTTAAGAACAAGAGTTCTTCCTGGCTACCACGAAATTGAGCTGGCGTATCACCATGGCGTGGACAGGGCTCGTAGCTATAAAAACAAAAAGAAGAAAAAAAAGCACGTCAAATTTTAAATTTGACATTTGACAGTTTACTACAAGGAACGAAATACGAAATAAAATTCTAGCTTCTAGATTTAACTATAATATTAAGAAATATCATTTAAGTGATATAATCTAAATATGGATGAATTAGAATACTCAGTTTTTGATTATCTGGAAAGGGTAAGATATTTTTAAAACAACTTTTTTTTTCAAATTTGATAAAACAGTAGTGTTGTATCAAATAATTTTCCATGTTAAGAGGTAGATTTTGATACATTAAATAATTCCTTAAAATCATTAAATCGTAAAATAACAAAGAATGAGTATATGATTAGAGAAAATTTTCATTATGTATTGAAAAATATATTAATGATTTTAGTTTCATTTATGCCTTAAAAAATTGTAACTACATGCATTTATATTCCCAGTATCAATTAAAAACTTTCATCCGGACTGCCCGATGAACTTTGCAGAGTGCAATTTCTAAAAAAATTTCTGCTTCAGAAGGTTATGGCTGCCTTAAAACAAAAATCTTTATTTATTTATTCCATGAAAGTGCAAAAAAATGTCACTTTTAAAAAATGCTAAATATACAATTACAGACCCTGTAGGAAGGCTATGTGGTTCATATTGTCTGGGCAACTGATTACTTCTCAAACTCTTTTGTTGTGCTTAGTATGAGAAAATTGTTAACTGTATTTAGTTCAATTTATTGTTTATACAATATAATCTTTTAATATCCATTATCATAAGCTTCTTTACAATTTTAATATTATTGACTGCTACATGTCTTTTTGTCTGGATCTTGGCTCCTCTATTTTTTTTATAGTACTAGGTTGAATAAGTCTGATGACAGGAAGTCTCCTTGTTTTAATTCTCTATTGATGTTGTGTGTGTATGTGTGTTTGTGCATTATTGGCTTCGGAGTCTGTCCATTCGCCATCTTATTGTGTTTTTTTTATTTTTCCTTATATATATATATATATATATATATATATATATATTTATACATATTGTTTTATATATTGTATATATTGTTAGTTTTGAGGCTTTGTTTTATTTCCATACTTGAGAATTCCCTATCTATATCATCCATGCTCAGTGAACTAATCGGCCGAATATTTGTTTCCACCCAACTTGGACCAATTTTATTGAAGAACATTTCTACCCACTCCCCTACCTGAATCCTATTTTTTTGGAGGATTAAATGTATTTTTTATGTTCTTTATATATTTCCATATATCTTTTATAGGTGTGTTTCTGTTAAGTTGTTTACAAAAATTTTGCCAAGAATCTTTTTTGCTTTGTAATATTATTTTTTTTGCGACTGCTACTGAATTTTTATATTTTAAATAGTTAGTTAAATTTGACTGCCTTTTGTAAAGCAAAAAAGCTTCTTGTTGAAATTTAATGGCATTTGCACATCTCTGATTCCACAAAACTTTGCTAAATTCTGATTTGATCTCTGTTCTCTTCTGTGGGATTGCTAGTTTTGTAGCATGATTTAGTGACTCTATAAAATTTTTATAAGATCTTTCGTTATTACTTTCATCTAATTGTTCATATACTATCTGAGAGAAAAGGGACCAGTCAGCTTTATTTGAATTAACTTTGTTTTTACACTTAAAGGATACTTGAGTAGTATTAAAATGTGTTTCGATTAGAACAGGAAAATGATTGGAAGTACCTAATGCTATAATATCAGTTTTCCAATCACAATTTAAAGTTATATCTCTAGAACATATTGTTATATCTACAGCAGATTTATTATTACTTCCAAATCTAAGGTTCTGTTAAAATTTTTGGATTTGAAATTATTTCTTTGTGTTTTTCAAGTGTTTCATCAATCTCTGGGGTTATAGCTAACCTCTTTCTTTTTAAAGTAACAGTATAGCGGTTTGAATTTGTGTCAGTTTTGTTACACTTGAAAAACTTCGTTCGTGCTTAGAAGAAGCCTCAGCCTATGATAAATTTTCATAGACCATAGTTTTTTTTATACTCTTTTGTCTACTAAATTCTAAACAATTTTTTTTATCAGTGGCGCAATGCTTTTCTTTACAATAAATGCATATTGGTTCATTTTTTTGGCAATTTTCTACTTTATGATCTTCTCCACAATTTTGAGTGCTGTTTTGATCTACACTGTGTACTAATATGGCCGTATCTTAGACATTTAAGACACTGCATTACTCTTGGCATGTATTTTTCGACTTCATACACCATTTTTTCTATTATTACCCTAGTGGGTAAAAGTTGACCTCTAAATGTAATATAATTGTAGTTGTTGGAACATCATTTTTGTCATTTTTACGTGAAATTTTTTTTACGTGACTTACTTCAAAATTATATCCTAATTTCGGTTTAATAATTTCTTTTAATTCCTGTTCCGATAATTCTAAATCTATTTGCCTTATGACTCCCTTTACGTGAGCAAAAAATATTAGAATGTATGTATCGTATTGTTTATCCTTTAATGACTGTGCTGTTAATAATTTATTTGCGCTTGCATAAGAAGTTAATTCAACCTTTATTTTATTAGCTCCTATTACTGATATGTTAACTATATCATGTTTAATTTCTGGTATCGCATTAATTATTAGTCTAGCCGTAGCTATTTTATGTAAATTGCCTATTTTACCTGTTTTACTTTGAATATAAACAAAAAATGGCCCATTATCTTTTGAAGAATATTTATTTATTGTGTTAATGACCGTGTTTACGTTTAAATTTTTTTCGGAAACAATTTCAGAAACATGATCAGTACCTATCTGTGTAATAGGGTTGATATTTTGAAATCCTCTAAATTCCTCAACTGGAGAAGGTGGAAGATCCGGATGGGACACATCCATATCACCTTCGAACTCATCTTTTTTGGGGGTTTTCTACCCCCGCTAGTAACACTCGTGATCTTTAAACCACTTTTTTATTTTTTAAATCGATATGTGCAATTTTTATATGAATAAACTAGTTTTTTAATTACAAGGTGATAACACCAATTTCGTTAATTAGATTTTAAGTATCTCACGTCTATTCGCTTTGACGAACCGAATCCAACTGGTTCTCTATTGATGTTAAACTGAATTGAAAGACTTTGTTCTAGATGACTTTATTAGGTAGCGTCATTTTAACTAATTATATCAGTTTCTCTGGTATTCTTCGTGATCTTATAGCTTCATATAGTCTGTTTTGTGAGATGGAATCATACACCTGTTTAAAATCAATAAAGACTATATGCAAACCTAGATTGTGTACATAACAGTTGTTTTGTAATAATTTTAGAATAAAAATTTGATCAGCTGTTCATCCCTATCTGAATCCAGCATGGTATTCTATTATTATCTTTGTTTCATAGGTTTTTACTCTACTTCTTATAATTTTGCTAATACTTTATATACTACTACCAGTTGTAGTGTGATTTCTCTGTAATTTTCAGTTTTATCATCTTTCTTGTGAATCGAGCAAATGTGTTTCATTGCTCTGCCATTTTTTCATTTTCTCATATTTTTATTATAAGTTGAGCTCTTTGTTGTAGTAGGTATATTTCCTCCTACTTATAATATTTCTGCTGGCACTCCGCTTTCTCCCTCACTTTTGTTTTTTTTAGGTCTAATACTTCTATTGCCTCCTCTGTCAGTTCTTGTGTTTGTTATTGTATTATTGCTCCTGTCTGGCTTTTATCATTTAATAATTCATTGAAATACTCTGTGTATCTGTTATGAGTATATGAGTATATAATAAAGAATGAGTATGATTAGAGAAAAATATTTATTATGTACAGTTGCGGTCACGGAATAGTTTACAGGTTCACGTATCTAGGAGCCCATTTTTTAAATTTTTACTTCGTTTAAACGCACCTTTTACGTCAAAGTGACGTTGCCAGTGGTGTACTAGCTAGAATAGGTAGATTAAAATTAAAATATCAAAATATTTTACAAAATGAAAAATATAGAAAACAGTTTTTTGAATAAAATGGATTATGATCTTAATAACGAAAATAAAGAAGTCTTTTTTTTAATATGCATTTTATTTTAAATCTATTTTATATTAAATAACGATAAACAATGATAAATAATAATTAATATTTGGTGGAAGCCCCATTCTTGTCAATACAATTTTGCAGTCTTCTGTTCATAGATAGCACCAATCCCCTCATGTTATAGTTAACAAGCTCTTCCCATGCCTGCTCAATTGCTTCCCATAATTCAATTCTATTCCGTGGTCTAAGGTTTCTTTCATTTAGTTTCTTTGTTAACTCTGCCCACACATTTTCGACGGGGTTAAAGTCTGCACTACGGGAAGGCCACGGAAGAACATTAACATCAGTTTCTTCTAGCCATTCTCGAACAATTCTACTCGTATGCACCGGGCAATTGTCATGTTGGAAGATAAAGTCGTTGTTGGGGAATCTCTGGATCACCGATGGCAACATTGTGTGCTCAATAATATGTTTGTAATATAATCCTGTTAACTTCTCCTCTACATGATAACAAACGCCCGGGCCTTCGGCACTTATCCATCCCCATACGTTGACAGAGAATCCTCCACTATTTCTTAAATGATGCGTATACTGTTCATCATACCTATGATTTCTCGGCCTATAAACTCTTATTCGACCATTATTATACGACTGAAATACTTTTTCATCGGAAAATACAACCCTAGACCAAAAATTCTCATCGCGGTTTATAAATTCATTACAAAATTCAACTCGTCTCCTCTTGTGATCCTCAGTCAAAAAAGGTTTCCGTGCAGCTACACAATTTAGCAGTCCACTTGCTTTAATTCTTCGACGTGCAGTGCGAATACTGCCTGGAAACGCTGCCTCTTCTCTTGCCTTTTGAGCTGTGGCAAAAGGAGATTCTCTCAAATAATCTACTAACATCTCATCCTGTTGATCTGTGGAAATCTTCTGCCCTCCTGAACCGCCCAACCGTGCTATAGAGTGAAAATTATCCCATCTTTGTTTAATCTTCCATATGCACATATGACTCACGTTCAAATCAGCAGCAACTTGCCTTAGTGACCAACCTTCTTCGAGTTTGGCAATTGCTCTTGCTTTTTGCGCATAATTCAAATGTATTCTAACCATTTTGGAAGAGTTTAATATACTTTTATTTTATTGTTGAACACTCGCGAAAGCATTGACGTTTTGAAATTTTTTGACTTTGACTTTTATCAAATCCGTACGACACTGCAATTTTACAGTATTACAATATAAAAAGTAAGGTGTAAACTATTCCGTGACCGCAACTGTACCTACTGAAAAATACATTAATGACTTTACTTCATTTATGCCTTTAAAAATTCTAATAAAGTAGGTTTTGGCGTTTATATTCCCAGTATCAATTACAAACTTTCGTCCAGACTACCTGATGAACTATGCAATAGATATATATCAAGCGGTTGATATCTTCTCCAATTCTCTTAGTGTAATTTCTAAAATTCATAAAAGCATTTTTTCTGCTTCAGCAAATTATTGCGGCCTTAAAACAAAAATCTTATTTCATTAGCAAATTGAAACAGGTTTTAAATACTTATCTCATGGATACTGTGTAATTCCCAAATACCCATAAGCTGTTAGATTAGCTGTAAATTAGATTAACAATATGTGTTACCCATAGTTAAAAATAAAATTAAAAACAAATTCAAAACATTTGCAAAACTTTAATTAGTAAAAAATCATATCAATATTGAAGAGTACAAAATATTTTCCCCAATAACCTATGGTTTCTAAACTTTTCATATAAATATATGAGACATGTTACAACTATTATAAGAAAATGGACCATTCTGGGCTTTGACTTATTGACACAAAATTCATTTATAAGAATCATAATTCACCTTCTTCTTCCTCATCTTTTCCCCTTCCTTATCTAAACATTTCTCTCTCATGTCCTCTGCCACACAGTCCTTCCATCTTCTTGATATTCCTCTACCTGTCTTTCCATCAGCTTCTAAAAGTTTTATCCCTCCTACCACTCCCCATAGTTTTCATTTCTTGAATTTCATTTTAAATAAACTTAAATTAGTCAGCATGTTGATAAAATTCAATTGATAAAATAAATTTGTAATAATTGACAATGCTCAATACTTTGTGTTGCGTTTACCATACCATAGTGTTCATTGCTCTCTTTTATTATATGTACTGTGCTGTTCTGGTATTTACCAACATAACATAACCTTGTATTGTGTTTTTATTTATAAAATTATCACAAGTAGCCTCGAGTTAGCTGTATACCAACAAAGTAAGTTTTGGCATTTATATTCCCACTATTCCCAGTATAAATTACAAACTTTCATCCAGACTACCTGATGAACTACGCAGTAGATCTATGGGCAAAACGCCATTATTTTTAACTTTATAAACGCCTCGACTTATTATCCTTCAGACGACTTCTAAATGATTTTTTGAAATTGTTTTCAATAAATATGCTATTTTCCAGTATATTAGAATGTATAGGCGAAATAAAATTTTAGATTTAAATATAACTGATATATTGTAATTCTATATTCTTCTTCTTCACGTGCCATCTCCGCTACGAAGGTTGGCTAGCATCATGGCAATTTTGACCCTGGAGGCTGCCGCTCGGAACAATTGTATGGAAGTGCAAGCAAACCACTCCCTGAGGTTTCTCAACCATGACATTCTTCTCCTACCTATGCTGCGCCTACCTTCAATCTTTCCTTGCATAATTAGTTGTAACAGTTGATATTTATTCCCACATGTAATATGTCCCAGGTATTGTAGTTTTCTCATTTTAACACTCAATACGACCTCCTTTTGTTTGTTCATCCTGTCTAATACAACTTGGTTAGTTATCTTATCCTTCCAGGAGATTTTTAACATTCTTCGGTACGCTCACATCTCAAATGCCTCCAGCTTACTCATACATTGCTTATTTAGTGTCCATGCCTCCACCCCATATAACAGGACCGAGAAAACATAACATTTAAGCATTCGTATTTTCAGCTTTAGGCTTAGGTTTCGGCTTCACAACATTTGTTTCATATTGTTAAAGGCACTGCGGGCTTTCTCAATTCTTATTCTTATTTCTCTGGTGTATTCGTTTGACTCGTTAATATTTGTTCCGAGGTAATTGTAATTTTGTACTCGTTCAATGAGATTCTCTCCTACATGTAAGTTGATATTATTGATACGTTTCTTTGTAATTATCATGAATTTGGTCTTCTTTGTATTCAGTGACAGACCAAATTCTTCACTTGCTTCTACCACTTTGTTTAGTAATCTCTGTAGGTCGTCAATATTTTCTGCTATGAGCGCGGTATCATCAGCATATCGGATATTGCAAATGGGGTGACCGTTGATCTTTACTCCGGCTTTTTCGTTCATAAGAGCTTTTTTAATAACTTCTTCCGCGTAGACATTGAACAAGGTTGGAGACAACACACAGCCCTGCCGAACACCTCTTTTGATCTGTATTCTATCTGATATCGAGCTGTTAATTCGTACTGTAGCTTCTTGTTTGTAGTATAGATTCCTTATCACTCGCATGTCCCTTGTATCAATATTTTTATTTTCCAGTATTTGCATCAGTGGCCTATCTTTTACTGTATCAAATGCTTTGTTATAGTCTAGGAAGCACACAAATATGTCCTGATTTACGTCTAAGCATCGTTGTGTTAGAACATTAAAAGCAAACAGTGCCTCTCTAGTTCCTAGTCCGTCTCTAAAGCCAAATTGAGAGGGTCCGATGTCAACTTCCAATTTTTTATATATTCTCCGATGAATGATTTTTAAGAAGACCTTTAATATATTACACATGAGACTGATGGTGCGATGTTCCGAGCATTGTCTCGCATTAGACTTTTTGGGTATGGCTATTATTGTTGTTACTAGCCATTCATTAGGTATGATACCATATTTGTAAATGCTGTTAAATAGTTCCACGATCTTTATTAAGTTATTGCCTTTGATGACTTTAATTATGTCTATTGGTAGTTCATCTGGGCCTGTAGCCTTACCCGACCTCATTTCTTTAATCGTGTATTCCACTTCATCTCTTGTTATTTCTGGTCCTGTGTCACTGTTTATGTATTCGTTATCTACATTGTCTCTTTGATCTTTAAACAGTTGTTCTATGTACTGTTTCCAGACTCTTAATTTTCTTCTGTGTCCATAATAATGTTTCCACTCTCGTCTACTAATATGTTGTGTCTGTTACTTTGTCTCCTCGTCAACTCTTTGATCTTCCGATGTGCATTAAAGCTGTCGTGTTTATTTTGTAGTTGTTCGATTGCTTCGCATTTTTCCCCGTACCCGTTTTCTTTAGCTGTGCGTATTTTTAGACGAATTTCTTTTTGTATCTCTTTATACTTCTGATTCTTTTTGTTTTTCTGTTTTCTTCTTTCATCCATTAAGTTCAGTATCTCATCTGTCATCCATTCTTTTTTATATTCTTTACTTTTATGGAGGTGACTTATGCTTGGTTTCATTAACGCTGTTTTAATGTCTGTCCAATTCTCATTGATGTTAACTTTTGTGTTGTCTATTATGGGTTGTATCTTTGTTACTGGTTCATCAATTTCTTGTATCATATGTTCTCTTACTTCTGGTTTTCGTAATTTGTTGATATCAACTGCTTTTTTGGGGTTGTGCTATTAATTTTCTTTAGTTTTATTTTCACTCTTGCAACTAGTGGATTATGATTAGATGATATATCTGCACCAGGGTACATTATGCTGTTTCTGTATCTTTCATTGATTAGTAGATAGTCTATTTGGTTTCTCACTATGTGATGTTCTGTGTCTTGTGGAGATCTCCATGTGTATAAACATCTGTTGGGTAGTTCGAAAAAGGTATTTGTAATTACCATTCTGTTTTCCTGGCAAAATTGTACCAGTCTTTCACCAGACTCGTTCTTCGTAATTCTATATAGTATGGCTGAATTAATACTCGTTTAAAGTAAGGTATGCAAGATATTTTTAAAACAACTTTTCTTTTCAAATTTGATAAAACAGAAGTGTTTATTGTAGAATCATTGAATGGCAATTTGAGGAGATCAAAGGTAGAAAATTTGGTCTTATAACTTAAAAAAGTTATCAAAAGAATGTTTGCATTTTTTATATTTGTTTCAATTTTAACTTGGCAATACTAAAGGAATTTTTTTGCAGTTGTCATCTGAAGACTATGATATAAGGATGCTAGCAGTAGTAGATATTTCTGTTGATGTTGGCAGAGGTCTGTTAATATTTGACGATGAATATCAGATTCAAGCTATATATAGAGTGCTTGCATTACTTGAAGATCCGAATAATCAAATAAAAAATGCAGCTGTGAAATGGTAAGTTAGTTATGTTATTTTAGAAAAACATAGTTTTATAAAATCAAACTGGTACCTATTTACTTAAAACTAACATTAAAGTAACATGTATTATATAAATATATACAATATGTGCAATCAATTCAATCCATGACATATTTCCCATTTATCGCTAGTTTTATTTATTTATTTATTTATTTATTTTCAATGGGCTGCTGCCCATAAGATTAACAATGTTTACAATGTATACAATAAAACAAAAAAATATAAGTATAAAAATCACAAACTTAATCACGTAATTTAGTTTTACACATCTAAATGATGATTACCTATTCCACAGCCACTCATAAACACATGCTTGAGACCAGAAATAAATTTGGCCTTCGGTGCAAGAAAATATAGATCTGGGTGAATATTTGCTCATTTTAGTGCTCGAGATAAAAAATATTATATGCATAGTTGATTCTGTGAAGAGGAACATAAAAAATTTGGTTTAATTGTGTTCTATAGAGAGGTACATGCAGACCAACATGCTCAAGTAGCTGAGGACATAAAACTGTAGAATTAATTATGTGATAAAGCATCTTTGTATCTTTAATTAATTGTCTATACAATGAGAGTACTAAGTTGGGTTTCAGTTTGATCATAATTTACTTGATGTAATTCAAAAAGTATACCCTGTTTATATGCTACATATTTCAAGAACTTGGGTTGAACTGTCTCAGTTTTTGATATGTTAATATTATAAGATGAAGACCATACACACGAACAATACTCTAGAAGGGGTCTAACTAAAAAACAAATTAGTAATTTAACCGCTTCAATATTCTGAAAGTCTCTAGTGAATCTTTTTATATAGCCAATCATTTTTAAAGACTTGGAAATTATTGACATGAAATGCGATTCAAATACAAGTGTATGAGTCTAAATTATTTCTCAGATCATAAATTTCAGTAATCCAGTCAACCAGAATTTTCTGTATATTATAAATATATTCCATTGGGTTATAAAACTTGACTTGTTATATTGAATATATAAATTTAGAGGAAACCTCATATAAGTACAGTTATTAATCTCTATACATTATTTGTACATTTTTTATGGAATGTTTTATAAACAATAGGAATGTATGTTTTTGTTAAAAATTTAAGTTTGATAAGTGACAAGAAATTAATTTGTTATCATACTGATTTACAACCAGACCAAGTTGGTATTAAAACGTTTTGAGTTCAGAATTTTTAATTGTATGAAAATGGAATTAACACCCGCACATGCTGCAAGAGCCGTGGCTGTGCAAGATAATCGTAACCATTATGCTACCCAGGTGCTAGGTGTAAGTTGTTTTACAAATGGCAAAGAGCCAATCAGGGGTTCATTCAAAACACCAACTACACTAGGCAACTAGGTCAATGATAAATGTTTCCTATACCAGTCATTTATAACAATAATAATAATTTATTCATCCTGAAAGATCATTTACATGATATTAAGATGAGTCAAGTAAATAATACCAATATTTATAAAATATCACAATTTTAGAATTAAAAATACATATGATTAATTAAAATCCACAAGGAAAAATTCCTGTAGCTGGCTGTATACCACGTATAACAAAAAGAGGTTAATCTTTGTAAATGGGTATATTTATTTAAAAAACCCTTAAAAGGGCCACATCAATAAAACAAACGTTTTCGGACCACACAGTCCATCATCAGGTTTTTAAAATCGAAAAATGCTAGGTCACAATGCTGAGCCACCAAAATACTAGGGTAAAAACCCTTTAAATTACATTTAGTTATGAAACTAAATGTAATTTATAACTAAATGTTATTCATAACTAAATGTAATTTAAAGGGTTTTTACCCTAGTATTTTGGTGGCTCAGGCATTGTGACCTAGCATTTTTCGATTTAAAAACCTGATGATGGACTGTGTGGTCCGAAAACGTTTGTTTTATTGATGTGGCCCTTTTAAGGGTTTTTTAAATAAATATACCCATTTACAAAGAGTAACCTCTTTTTTTTATATGATTAATTATTTACATCACCTAGATATTCACTTACACTGTAGAAATAATTTTGGAATAGAAAAGATTTATAAGGACAATATCGAAACCTCCCATACTGTAGACAGAGACAGGAGAAACTGTTTATGAAAGAAACAGAACCTTAGTCGTCGGTAATGAAGAAATTCTACTATCCGCCTCTAGAAATCAGCAAAATGGGCAAAATATGTTAGTAGCAGAAGACACAAAGATCCCTTCTAACAGCGAATAGATCATGGTCACACAAATTGTCTCGACTACAGAAGATTGAATAGCTTCACCATGTAAGACAGCTAGTCGCTGTCCCGTATTGACGACACCCTTAGTGCCTTGACTGGATCGGAATGGTTTTGACTGTGGATCTTAAAAGCGGATATTAGCAAGAGAAGACAGCATTTTCTGCTGGAAATGGGCTCTACCAGTTCAAAGTGATAGCATTCAGATTGTGTAACACATCTGCCACATTTGATTTATGGACAAATAGTATTGTTTGATTTACTCTTACTAACGACTGCTCAGATGGTTCGGTGATACATTCCATTTTTTATAAAGGGTTCGTAGAAAGAAAAATGTATGGAACCGCTAGACTAAGGTGTAAAGGACATTATTTTCCCTGTATTCATATTTCTTAGATTAGTGTTGTATTTCATTGTGCTACTTTCTGGTACAATGAGACATTTTATCATATGGTACTGAGCAAGAAATTCTTTTTTGTATTCATACAAAATATTTGTTTCACTAAAAATAAAAACTCTGAACTAAAAACAAAACAAGAGTAATAAATTTTTTTTTAGTTTGGCTGCTTTTGCCAGAAAATTCCTACGAAGTGAAGTAGAATCCATATTAACTATTTTAGCGACAAATGTAGTTAGCAATTTTCATCAGCTAAGGAAAATTTCGATCTATGCTCTAAAAATGATATTTTCTGAGCTTCCTCAAGCATTTAGTCTCTCCGAACATGTTTGCGAAATAATCTCCGATGTGTTATATACTGCAGCTGAGAATGTAAGTACAATAATAATTATATATAGAAAAAGGCGTAAGTAAATGAAAAATATATTTTTTTCTCATTAATTTTTTTTAATATCTCAACCAATCACTGATAATATTTGCTCCAACTTCACTGATCTCGTTAATTGTTCTCTAACTCGTTAAGTTCTTGTTCAAAGTCTTAACTTTTTATAAATGTTTCTAGTCTTTCTGGAAGATAGTATCTAAGGCCAATTTTTAACCTTAAACATTATATTACCTAGGCATACACACAACACACATAGATATAGATAGATTTGTCTTATCAAAATTTTAATAAGTGAATATATATTTTTAATAAACAAATAGTTTCATGCTTCAGCCTCATAGTTTAGAGTAATTTTATTGTTTTGTTAAAATTTTAGATTGTTGAGTAGTAAGTTTTCTAAATTCAGTTTAGATTTTTTTACTTAATCAATACTTTTTAAGTCAATTTGGTTTGAAATTATTACTTTTTATTTTACAAAATTTCCGAGAAACCCAATTTTAGCAAAGTTGCAAAACCAACTATTGGTGGAGCACAGCACTGTAACACCTCAGGAAGACAGCAAGAACAGCTTTTAATGGAGCAAAACGCACCAAACTCAGAGGATTTGGATTCTTCAGAGGGTTTAAGAAAGTCTGCAGTCAAAGACAAAGAGCTGCTTGGGGAGCCTACTGTGAATTTCCCGCAGGCTTCCAGGCTACAAAAAGCGCTCGCAAAGGACCCACATCGGCATATTAACGAAGGAATATGGAACCAAAACTTCCAACCTTTAGATCCTGATGAAAAAACACTTCCCCGATTCTAGCGCCTCAACGGCACCAAACTGGACGAAAGAAACAATCATACCCTCACTGAACGACTGACAGCTCGCCAGAACAATGATTAATGAAGAAAAGATAAGATGTACAATATTGTGCTTCACCCCTTTCAAGACGCTGGGGGCCTGACGGAATATATCCAGCCCTACTACGGTGTGGACTGGATATCCTTCTGCGGCACCTTGTGGGAATATTTAGAGCCTCATTCCTTGGCTTTGAGATATATTCCTAGGAAGTGGAGAGAGGTATGTGTGGTCTTCATACCAAAACCAGGTAGGATCGATTACACCCTACCAAAGGCTTTACGACCAATTAGCCTGACATCGTTTCTCTTGAAAACGATAGAAAGGCTATGCGAGAGGCACATAAGGGATGAGGTTCTGATTCATAACCCATCTCACCCAAATCAGCATGCATAAACTTCGGGAAGATCTACCCATTCTGCACAACATCAAGTAGTGGAAATAATTGAAAGATCGCTGGATAATAAAGAATCCATCCTAGGTATATTCGTAGATGTTGAGGAAGCGTTTGATAAAACCAAATTCCCAACCATCATCCAACAGCTCAATGCCAGTAATGTTCCACTGGTCGTGAGCGAATAGATATTCAATATGCTGTATAATAGAGCAATAAGTAGAAATATAGAAATGTAGACGTTTTTGTTAAAGGCATGGTTACGAGGGGGTATCCATAAGGTGCTGTGCTATGACCTCTCCTCTGGAACATGTTTCTAGACACCCTGGTTGACTAACTCAGCAGCAACGGATTCTATACAAAAGTCTATGCAGATAATATTGCTGTCCTGCAAAGCGGTAAGTTTGAGAACACACTATGTGAGAGATTACAAGTTGCTCTCCGACTAATAGAAACATGTTGCAAGGAACACTCAGTGTCTATAAATCCTAAGAAGACAGAGATGGTCCTCTTCACCAGAAGAAGGAGAATCGCAGGTTTAATACACCTAAACTAGTCTAAAATTTAGGGAGTCAAATGTGGCAAATACGTATTGCATATACACCGATGGCTCCAAAATGGAAGAAGGCCCAGGATGCGGGGTGTACTCCAGATCACTGAACCTAAGAATAAAGTGGGGTATGGACAAAAATGCCAGCGTAGTTGCTATAGAGATAGAAATTTGCGGCTATAGAGATACCATAACTGGCTGGTATCTCTATAGCCGCAAAAGAGATAACCCAAAATGGTATAGCCGGGAAAACTATAATAATTTGCACAGATAGCAACAAGCGCTACTAACCTTTAATAGAGCATGTGTCACATCAGGGTTGTAATGGATTGTCGTAAGTCACTAACTCAAGCTTCGGATGGTAATAACATCATCCTGAGGTGGGTTTAAGGACACAATAGAAATAAAGGCAACCGCATTGCTGACCAATTAGATAGGAAGGCGGCAGGCCTAAGACTCTTAGGATCTGAGGATGTTTTTGGTCAACTACAACAATCGCGAAAGTACAAGTGCGAACGAGAAGACAAAACTGTCGAGCATATCTCATATGAATGCCTCGAGTTATCGTTAATACAAGAGTACGAGTTCGACGAGCCCTAGTCCACACCTGCCCACAGAATAGACTATTTATTATGTTCAAAAAATAGTTTTAAAGGGAACTACAACGTTAGGGGTGCGTTTTTGAGAAAGGTGTGAATTTGTCTCATTATGCACTAGACTGCATTTGTGTAAATTCTATGCAGTTTTCGTGCATATACATCTTCAATAAAGTTGTTAAAAATTAAATTTTATTATTGAAGTGTCACACAGTCAAAAATAATTTTTTTTTTTTTTGACAAAAATATATTCAAAAAAGTTGCAGTTCCTAGAAATGGCAGGATGGACAATGAGCTAAGGACAACAGTTCGCTGTAATAAAGGACAACATGTAATAAAATATTATTAAAGATCGTATGATTGTGCATACATCTTTCGATCTGACTAATTAATAAAGATCAAAATTAAAAAAAGAATATTTGCAATAGAGTGATTTGTTATATTTGTTCGTATAAATATAAAAAAAAAATAAATACATGTAATATATATATATATATATATATATATATATAATATATATATATATATATATATATTATAGGATGTTATTATTATATACTTACATAAATATAATTAAATATCACACACTATTCCCGTGTTCAACCAATATGTTTTAACGGGTAATGGGTAAATGTTTTTTTAAACCAAAAAAAAAAAAAAAATTTAAAGTGACAAAAATAAAATTAACAGGTACGTAAAAAAACTACTAATTATAATTCTTAATTGTACATTTAAATCAATAAACATCCAGATTTAGATTAAACAATGATCAATTAATAAGAAGCTGTTCATATAATAGTCAGTAATTATAACATATGTAATTATACATTAGCATGTATTGAGGCTAATAATTAATTTAAATCATAAGATTATATCCAAATTTCCATGCATCCTATGCATATCCAACTAGTTCCTTCCAATCTAAACCCTCATGAGTTCTAATCTTACCTTTCCAATCTTTCTTTCCAGAACCACCTCAATCTCAATTCCTGTAAAACCAAAAATTCCTCCATAAAATTCAATATATCTTTTCCCTCCCACTACACAAAGTACATATTTTCCTATCATCAGCCCTATCAGGTCTAACATTTATATTACACCATTTTTTACCATTCAAAACTGCTAGATCATTTTCCTCACAAAATCATATAATCCTCCTTTCATGAGCATTTGTCCTTGCATAGTTGGTCATTAGAATTCTAATTCACCAAAGTACTCTCCTTTTACACATATATCAAGACTCTATTCCTATATTCCTACAGTTCCTACTTGCCCTCTGGCCTTAGATATACGGATACTATATCGAGATCAAAGTTGCCACACTCAGTATTATTACCTATCTCTCTAACTCGATATGCTTAGGTTCAAACTTCAGCTTTATACAATTTACCATTTTTATTGGGAATAAGCCACGATTTTATTTTAAAATAAGTTTATTTTGATGTTTTGATGTCTACTTCAGAAGTCGTTCTCAAAATACAAAACAGTAATAAATTAAACAAATTTTGTTTGTGTTGGTAAAACATTCATCTAACAATTTAAGTAAATGACTTTAAAATGATCATTGTCAGTTGTCTCATAACTTTAACTTTAACAACTTAAGAACATCCTTCAGAAAAATCATAGCATGTGATTTGTCGTTAAAAAGACACCACATGCAGTGATGAGATTAAAATGCTCCTGTTAGTGTTCCCATAGTAAATCATGATTAAAAAACCTCACCGTACTATCCCGGCATGGTAAGTAATGGGTCTTACATTTAGTTAACTTTCAATATTAATACCAAACTCTGATTTTATATGTATGTTATTTAAAAACATAAATGATGTATTCTCGATTAGACCAGGGGACTAACGATTTTCCCGTACCACTCGTTAATACAGGTATCTAACTGCTTTTGATAAATTTAGTTATAACAGTATGTAATAAACAAAATATGCAAAATATTAAACATTATTTCTTACTTATAAAATAAACAATATATAAAAAATATATATACTCGTACAATGTAAAATTACTATTCGATTTTAAATACTAAAGGTGAAGACCGGTAAATTATATGAAAAAATGACACAATTCTAATGAAATCGCACAAAAAATCCTGTAAAATGAGAGTTTGTAAAGTTCTTTTGCTTAATTTGTTGCTTAATTGCAAAAAAGCTTCAAAAGTAGATTTTTTCAAAATTATTACCTAATAACTTTTCTAAAAATACACAAAAAACTTTGAGTCTCTTTGAGTCTGAAAAAAAAGTTCTCCTTCTAGTTTGAAGACATCAAGAGACAAAGAAATATGTACTTTAGGAAATATGCACCAATAAACGTCTGGCCATCAACAATTATACTTTATTCCTTCTTACATACAGAACAATACAAAACTTGACTGACAGTAGTTTATGACCTATTTTTGACATTACTCATTGAACTGTCAACAATGTCACTTCATATATAACGACTATAGGACAACATCCACTTTTTATATTGGATATTCTAACACTCTCCCTCAAACATGAAATGTAGATACGCTAAATAATAGACCTTAACAAAATAAACATTTTAAATTTAAATTCTGACAGATTAACTACAATTTCTTTGAATTTAACGACTTGTTCAACATATCAGCCACCATTTCATTCGTCGACATATATTTTAATTGAATATCATTGTTAGCTACTTTTTCACGAATAAAATGATACTTGACATGAATATGTTTCGTTCTCTTATCCTTTTCGGTCACGCATTTTTTTATTGAAATGAAAAATATTTTGTTAATAATTCCTACCCAATAATTCCTGACTTGCTATTTCAGTAGCTAATTCCTCAATGTTTTTACATGAAAAATGATAACTCATAAATGATGCTATATTTTCCAATTTACTGCAATCATAAAAACGCATTTCGAATTGTCCCAAAATATTTGATAATTCAGCCTCATACGTATCATAATTCAACTGAGGAATCCTTGCTTTCAAAGACGGAAAATGTTTCAGATCCTTTCTTTTCAGTTGATCTATCATAAGTTGCAATTTACTTTTGAATGCGTTTACTGCGCTAATCATCTCAATAATAGTTTTTCCTTTACCTTGAAGCTCCAAGTTAACGGTGTTTAAGTGCATTGTGATGTCAGTCAAAAATGCCAAATAATTTAGCCATTTTTCGTTTTTCAAAATCTGAGTGTCATCACCTCTTTCGTCTAGAAAAGCTGTTATTTCGGGCAATAATTCTTGAAACCTTTCTAGGAATTTTCCGCGACTCAACCACCTGACGTCCGTGTGAAGAACTAAATCAGTGTGTTTAGCTGACTCCCTATCTTCCAACTGCAACTGAAAGAGCCGCCGTTGCAAGCTACGTGCACGGATGGAATTTACAATTTTTGTTGCAATGCCCATAATTTCCTCCGTGTTTAAAACTTTTGAACACAAAACTT